TGTTTTTGTTTTTTACTTTCACTTTATATATATATATATATATATATATATATATATATATATATATATATATATATATATATATATATAAATGAAATATACAGGGTATTTCAGGTTTAAGTGGCCAAACTGCAAAAATGGACTAAGGATCTCAAAATAAGAATAAAATTTCCTCTGAAGGTATGCCCGCAAACGCTTTGTTTGGGAGATATTCACGCCTAAAGATTTTCGTTGTTATGAATTATTTAAAAATAGAAATAGAAAATCATCTTTATTCTGGGACTAGGTTCCTTGAGAATAACAATATTGTTTAAACCAATTGACAATAAATCTGACCAGATGACCTATTATAATAAAGAGTAACTACAATCTAAGTAATAAAATGAGTATATACATAGTTTTGGAGGGAAAGCGGATGGGTACAACGGTTACAATATTATAATATTGGTACAAAAATCAACAACATACTAATAACTACATAAAATTGCAAAGAAATGCTAAATAAGTTTTATAAGTTTTCCTCAAATCTTCAATAATCATTATGCTCGAATTTCGATCACTGGGATAACATTAGTAATTTTAAAAATAAACCAAAACAAGCAAAAGAAAATTAATTTAAATCATACTTTTTTTTTTTTAGGTCCTCACTTTCCTCACTTTTTCGGCTAATTAACACGAATTACACGAACAATAATATTTCAAGAAGTAAATCTTTAATATTTTTTTCCATAAAACATTGTTGCATTTTACCATTTTTGGTTTCTTCAACCCGAAAGCCCACCTCTCCCCTCCCCCCCCCCCCATACATCCGCATGTGCATCTTTATCTTCGGTTTATCAGGTTGCCGGGCAACGAATGGTTTGGACACTCGGCCGACCAACGCTTTTGATTGAAATATTACGTAATATATTCATTTATTAATTAAATAAATAAATCACATAATATTATTACATTATTATTGAAGGATCACTATGTTATATCGTAAATATAGACAGGGAAGGACCACTCCCTCGAGTTCGTGACCCCTCCCCCCCCCCCTCCTCCACCAGCCAGCTGTCCCGGAATGTCCCGAAGAGCGGAACACTGACCTAGATCAGACGAGGGTCGTGGAGTGTCGTTCCTTATCGATGCCTCCTGCGGTTTACTGCCTCCTCGATATAGCTAGCCACTTCCTCTCTCCATTGCGCACGATAACACCTGTTTACCTCCCCTCCCCCTCCCTCCCATCCCATCACAATAAACATTATATTTAACAAGATATAAATAAAACAATACATGGAATCTTTACAGAGGATGAAAATTGAAAATGAAGAGAAGAATAGTTGGGGTGATCAGTCAAATAAGAAGAAATAATTTAGGTTTTTTTTTTTCTTTTCTTTCTCATTCTCTTTCTTATTTCAATCTTCTCAGTTTCTTTCCTCCTTCCTTTCATTCCTTTTCTCTGTTTTAACTCTTTATTATATTATACGTTGTCTACATCTTGATAGACTTTACATCACTAATTTTCTATCTAACTATTTTATTCACAATATCTTAATTTTACTATTTATTTCCATTTCTTATATAACTTCATATTTTTCTGTTTTACATTTTATTCTAAGATTCCCACTTCAATACTTATGTCACCTCTTTGATTATATTTACTTCATCATTCCACACTTTGTACCGGTTATTATTATTTATCTCTTAGTTCTTACTATTGTCATTTTCTAACAACATTTTACTGCATTATACTGCATTTTACTGTAATTTTTATGTTTCTCATACCTTGTTATCTGGTTCTTTTCTTAGCCCTGATGATGGCCTGAACTTCAGGTCGAAACGTCGGCAAATGACAAAATAAATATTATCATTTATTAACTATTTAACCACTATTATGAAAATTGAAAATACTTTCTCTTACTGTATATTACTTTCACTTACCTATTACATGTAATATATAGTAAGGGTAAGTATTGCGATCGTGAAAATTTTCGAATCTGAGTTTTCAACGGAAATACACGCTTTGACATCCGCTGGATCCGAATAACCAAGTCCCACAAAATATTCTCTGTGTGTGTGTAGATGTATGTGAACAGTCTAGCTCAAAAACGAAAAGTCGTACGATAACCTGATATTACGTATTTAAGATAGGTATATGGCTGGGATGTTACAGCAACTTTTTTCTTAAATTGACTAACCGAAAAATATAAATGCCACTTTATATCAACGGTATTTTACAATCTAATGAATAATCATTTATAGGTTGAATATACAGGTATACTTTCAAATCTCTCTAGGCATATTTATATTGCTCAGAGATTGGAGTTATATAGCTTACAAAAACAGATAGAGTACTGAGGTTTTTACTCCCAACCGTTGATATAATTAATAAGGTTTTTGTTATTTTAATAGTCTTAATGATTAGTTAGCTTTCAGCTTTAAGCTGTAGCTCTATTAAAAATGCACATAAAATTTTTTATAATAGCTCAAAATAATTTCAATTCAAAGTAGAGCGGTTAAGTGAAATTCGTGTGGCGCGCACAAGATTTATTTTATCATGGTAATATATTAAGAAACAAACGAATGCTTCAGTTGATTTCAGACTTTTTGTTCCTGCTTTTCCGAGAAGTATGTTACATAGATAAATTTCAAGGGCTTTGAAAGAGAAGACTTTAAACAAGTTTCAATGAAGTGCAAGACCAAGACCGATTTTGGACAACACTAAACGGAAGTGGAAACTTCCGATATTTTATTTTTCATTTTTATCCTCCATTTCGCCTTTTCATCTATACAGGGTTTTCCCGGGCCAGGGGAGAGGACGGGGGATTGATGTCAGATTTAAAAGCCTCTGGCACCGGGACTAGTAATCGTAATCTTAAGTTTATCAGATTGTCAGGCAACGCGTATTTTTATCTGGCTTAGAAAAAGAAAAAGTCTTTTTATCAAAATTACAAAATAATATTTTTATATTTTTTTATTCTATTTATTTATATGATATTTACAACTGTATATATTTTTAGATTTAAAACCGAAAATCAGACGTGCTACATGGTCAGAGGAGTCTGTGTTTCATAACAAAATTATATTTCAGTCTATTTATATACAAATAATTAATAGGAAAATAAGAACAGTTATATTTACAATGTAAAAGTAATACAAATATTTTAATTACAAAAAGAGCGGTACCAAAATTCTCCAATTTATTAATTATTAAATTCTCTGATGAGCATTATTCTATAGTAGAAAGCAGACTTGCAGTAATTTACCAATGCTATCCAATTGTTTCCATTTAATAAATCAATTACTTGATCCCGATATAAATTTCTAGACTTTAACCATTTGATTCTAAATTCAGAGAGTATCGGACAAGCAGCCAGGAAGGAATAGAGATCTTCTGTTTCGTTTGTATTACACATGCTACAATTATTATTTGTTTGCTGGAAGTGTTTATAATTTAAGTTCAAAATTTTAATTACCCATCTGATCACTTTCAATGAGCTTTTGTCATCAATATAATTTACTGAAGTTAAATTAGGATAAAAAGTGAAAGTTCTAGAATTCTGAACTTTAATTTACATATTGATTATATATGTCTTTCTGAATTTGAGTTCTTAGTAAATATAAATTAGCTCTTCATAGTTTAACATCATCACAGTTAGATCGATTTAAGTTTAAATTTAATCCAAGCAGTTCAATCAGATTAAGTAAGTCCCTAAACCATGCGATTTCTTTTTTAATTATCTGTAGTGCTAATATTTTTGTGTGGTGGAAGATTCAAAATTTTTATAATTGGTAATTGGTTGACTGTCGTGGATAATGAAGAGAAGAATAGTTGGGGTGTTCAGTCAAAAAGGAAGGCAAAAATAAATGATAATATTTGTTGTTGTTTTTTTTTTTACATATGCCGACGTTTCGACCTGAAATTCAGGCCTTCATCAGGGCTAAGAAAATAACCAGATAACAAGGTATGAGAAACATAAGTAATGATGGTAAAAAAGATAATAAAAAATAATAAAAAAAATTATTAGAAAAATAAAATAGATAAATATAAAGTAAAATGAAATTGTTAGAATGTTTTAATTTTACTATTTATTTTCATTTCTTATATAACTTTATATTTCTTTTTTATGTTTTACATTTTATTCTAAGATTCCCATTGTAACACTTTTGTCACCCCTTTTTGATTATGCCTACTTCATCATTCCACACTTTGTAACGGTTTTTATTATTTATCTCTTAGTTCTTAGTCATTATTCTAACAATTTCATTTTACTTTATATTTATCTATTTTATTTTTCTAATAATTTTTTTATTTTATTTTTTATTTTTTATTATATTTTTTACCATCATTACTTATGTTTCTCATACCTTGTTATCTGGTTATTTTCTTAGCCCTGATGAAGGCCTGAACTTCAGGTCGAAACGTCGGCATATGTAAAAAATAAATATTATCATTTATTTTTGCCTTCCTTTTTGACTGAACACCCCAGCTATTCTTCTCTTCAAAATTTTTATAATATAATCAAAATGGAGTTTAATTATGAAGATAAATAACGGATCTATTTTAGTCTCAAAGTGAATAAAGTGTGTTGGAGTATATTTTGGTATATCCCGTATAAATATACCTCTTGGCTACTCCGCCCACATTCTCTTCTGTGTATTATAATATAATAATTATCACTAGCGGATCCAGGATTCAATTTTGGGGGAGGGGGGCTTCAGCCCGAAAGCTTTTTTTTTCATAAAAATGGCGATAATTACCTTGGAAAAAAAGAAAGAAACTAGCTATCTATATGAAATGGTGTTTAAGTGATTCCTTAAGTCCTTTTAAATGTAATTACACCAATAATAATACTTTAAGAGATAATTTTTTAATATATTTTCCCATAAAACATAGTTATATTTTACCATTTTGGGGGGGGGAGCTTCAGCCCGAAAGCCTCCCTCCCCCCGTAGATCCGCCCGTGATAATTATGAATTATATAAAAGGTGGCTAAACTGTAGCTTCGTACTGTTGCAGCGGCGAAAAGATCCCCAAGCTGCCGACGACGGACGAGGAGAAGAAGGAAATGCTGAAGAGGGTGATGACCGCCGTGCTCCAGAGGCCCGGGGCTAAGGCGAGGCTCAGCCAGGTCCTTCCGATCCTGCGGCAGATGACGGCGCCGCAGAGGTTGGCGTTGGCGTCGTTGGTGATGGCGCAAGTCATGGCAGGTAAGGTTCATCCAATCATATCTAACATAGTCGTGTCCATCCATCCAAGATCCTTCTCCTGAAGATACTTCATTGCTCTCCTCTTCTTAAAAACAGTACAAGTGAAAGTAGAATTTAAAATTCGTAAATCTGGTTTGAAATTTTTCATTCAGAAAATTCGTAACTCTGTACCCTCTCAAAAATGTTTATGGCGCAACTAGCCATTGGACTAAGGGGACCCAACACGGTAATTCATGAATGAACGTCACAAGAAGTGCCAAGATTCGCTTTGATCATGAAGACCCCTACACGTTCAATCATTACTGATCATTACTTATCGTTGCTGATACCAATTTAGTTCAGTTGTAAACAAAGAAACAGCATAGATATGCTTATTTGGACATTGTCATTTATAATATTGGGCATCAAGAGAAAAACGGATATAATAATTACTTCCTAGTGCCTGAAAATCGTTTAGACCAAAGTTAGAAAAATATAAGTCAACAACTTACAAAAATTTAGGAAAAGTATTGCGAAAATAATCAATTTGTTAAGAAAAATGGAAAAAATTAATGACAAATAAACACAACAGTTAAAGATTTTTTTTTCTATAAGTAAATTGTGAAGTTTCCAATTTTTTTTTTTTTCAATTTATTGCCTACTTGACTATTTAAAGAAAAAATAGTTGAAAATGGTTAATAAAAATACAAACTAGGAATATAAACAACTATTTACTTTTATGTAATTATTTACTTAGTAGTAAGGTTATTCTCATAGAAAATCGTTTTGACAAAAGTTAGTAAAATATAATTCTACTACTTTACAAAAATTAAGGAAAGGTATTGCAAAAATGATAAATTAGTTGAGGAAAATAGGAAAAGAATTGACAAATATACACAACAGTTAAAGATTTTTTTTTCTTTAAGTAAATTGTGAAGTTTCCACATTTTTTTTTAAATTTGTTGCCCACTTGACTATTTAAAAGAAATAGTTGATGATGGTTTATAAAATATAAAAAAGGGATATGAAAAATTATTTAACTATTTACTTTTAATGAAAATGAGAAATTTATAATGGTTGTGAGGCCTAGGTAACCTAACCTATCCAGCAGTATGGTTAGTCTCCCCACTACTTTTACCTCAGCCCCCCCTCCACTTCTCGTGAATGAACGCCAGACACCTCAATCAGTACTTCATTCACTATCTTACACGATAATTCGGAACATCATTAGTGCCTCGGAATGCAATTCCGAATGACCGTGTAAGGTCCCCTTAATGGGTTTCTAATTCAGCCACAGTCAAGGGCTTGAACTCGTTCCTCCTCGGTGCTCAGGGTTCCCAGTAAGTGACGTTACTTAACTTATACGATACTTAAATATGATACGTTCATGGTATTTTTTTTACTTTCCTACCTATATTAGGTAAGGAAAGTATTGCGATCGGGTGAAATTTCCAATGTGCGATTTTCTACGGTTCTGTACGTTTCAGAGCCCCCTGAGTCCGAAAAACACATTTTCAGCAACTGGTCTGTCTGTGCTAAGATTATCTCGGGAACTAGTTGACCGATTTTGTTGCTTCTTTTTTTATTTTGTAGGGTTTTGACTACTGATGCCTGTGACAGAAATTGGATGCTCCCTGAACAACAGCTTGCGCGCAATAAATGAAAACCATGTTTTTATATATATTATAGCGCGAAAATGGCTCTAACGATTTTGATGAAACTTGCCTATAATATTCTAATAATTGTCCTTTCAATTTTCGTATGTAGACTCAATTTCCGAAAAAATTCAGGAAAAAAAGTTTTAAAGAAAAGAAAAATGTTATGAGGCCTAACTCCCTGAGTTCATATTATACGATAAAATTTATAATAAAACTTTTGAAAAATAATTAAATTATCAACAAAACAAAACAAAAATCATTGGAATCGAACCATTATTAGCGATGATACAGCTTATTCTATTTTTTACACATGTTTTAACTTATTTCTTTCCTACTTATTCTAGGTAAGGAAAGTATTACAATCGGGCAAATTTCCGATATGCGGTTTTCGACGGATCTGTACGTTTCAGAGCCCCCTGAGCCCGAAAAACACATTTTTAGTCATTGGTATGGCTGTCTGTCTGTCTGTAGAAGAAAGGGGTGAATGAGAGATAAAGAATAAAGACGATTAAGTGAAAGTAAGAAAATCTGTTGCCCGCATCACACAATCTTCACTATTTCTTCTACTTTTAACAGAAATTATAGTTTGATAATACTAAGCTATGGCAAAAAGTTTTCAATCAGCAATATTGGGAAGTTGGGTGCTCCCTGAGCAATAGCGGCTGCGCAATAAATGAAAAACATATTTTTCTATATACTGTAGCGCCAAAACGGCTCTAACGATTTTGATAAAACTTTCCTATAATTTTCTAATTAATGTCCTTTCAATTCTCGTACATTTACTAAATTCCTGAGAGAATTCAGGAAAAAAGTTATAAGGAAAAGAACACTGTTTTGGGACCTAACTCGCTAAGTATATATTCTATGATAAAATGTATATACAAACTTTAAAAAGGTTTGTTAACTACAAAACAAAAAAGAAAAAAATCATCGGAATCGACGATACAACTATCCAATTTCTTAGAATTGAATACAATAGAAAAATTATCTTTATTCTGGGACTAGATCCCTTTAGAATAACAGTATTGTTCATATAAATTAACCATAAATCTGGCCAAAAGACCTATTATAATGAATAATAACAAAATACTAGTAATAAATTGAGTATAATAGCTCTTAGGATAAATTAACGAGAACAGTTTGGTAATAGGGGTTCAATAATACAATATTGGAGCTAAAACAATACCATAATAATCACTAAGTGAAATTAGAAAGGAATTCAAAATCAATTTTATAGGCAAAGCATTGTAGTGATGGAATATAAAAATTAAAAAAAAATAAAATAAAATAATAACTGTTAATATATAAAGAAATAAACTGTAAAAAAAAAGAAAAAAAGTAAAAAAACCTAGTTCTCGCATCACACATGTTTCAATATTTCTTTTACTTTTAACCGTAGTTTTAATTGTCTGACAAAATTGGGCTATGGTAAAAAGTTTTTAACCAGCAATATTATAGTGTATTATTTTTTTTTACACTGATCTTCCACAAACCGGTTTACATTGCTTTAGTTTATCAAAGAAATCGTACTCAAATCTTTTTTTGATCAATTTTCATGAAAATTAGATTTAACTTTTTTTTTTTCTTAATGGACATATTTAAAGATTTAAAAACTTTTCTGAAATAGGTAGGAAAGTCTTATGAGTGTACATACTAATTTTTTTTTACAATTACATGCAGGCCATTTAGAAACGATTATTTTACATAAAATTTACAGTAATTTTAAACTTATAATAAAGAATAACTTAAGAGATCTATCAAAATTTTGATATGTTTGTAATGTTAAAATCTAAGAACTTTTAAAACAGTAGGGCATCGAAAAAAGTGTTGTATTTTTCGAAAATGACCCAATAATTAAACTTTGAAAACTATACAAACAACTTGGTGGTTTGAAAAACATTTTATCACTCAATTCTTCCCAAGTATGGTTCTATGACAGGCTGAATGGAGAGAACGAAGAATAAGAAAAACAAACAACAGAAACTTCTGTTATTAATGTTCTGATGTTTTTTTTATGAAATGTAATAATTAAACTAATCACAAAATTTAATTCTCGTTAATTTCTAAACGGAAAAAAATAAATTGCAATAAACGCCTAATCACCTAAAAGCAATGAAGAGTTTTCTTCAACCTGGTCGTTTTTCTTCAGAGAAATCTCGTTGGATTCTTTAGGAAAAAGTTAATGACTCTCCATTAAATTGACAAATTAGTTTACGGCCGTTTGGGAAACCTTAAACTTTTCAAGTACATGTTTACAAAGAAGTTGATTGCAGATGTATGGCTTCTTCATTAGGAACAGAACGATCGGTTACGCTCGTTCAACAAGGAACGAATTGATTATAGCAGTAAGATTTGATCTTTATTTTTGAAAAGCGATTTAAAGATTTTTTTATTATTTGTTAATCCACACATATATTATTACAGTAAGACTCGAAATCGGTTTTGTACCAAATATAAGTTCCTGTCAGGCTCAAATACCATGAATGGGGCACCGTTGGATTCAGAATTTCACGGGGGTTAGCGAATCGTATTCTCCACTTTTGTTTTTCTTCCTAAAATAAATAAAGTCGATACAAACATTTTGCTAGGCTTCAATACTGGAACGGTGGTAGGTCTGTAAATCGATACGGGACTAATTGGACTTAGAAGATTTTGATGCGTACAGCAAGAACCCGATAGTTCCTCCGGAACTTTCGGATCCTGAGTTTTTAAGCCCCAAAATTTACTATTTTCGAGGTAACGCAAGGCATAGGGTTCACATCCACACAACCTTACGTTAATTGTAGTACTGTCATTGAATACATGTCTCATTTCGTCGACTTGAGGTCTCTATGATCGAGAGAGGAGGAGTTTATATTATTTATCGAAGGTGTTTTTGATCGGCAAGCCATATTATCGTTAATTCTTCACCAAATCTCAAGATTGAGCCACCAATTTCGAAGGCTACAGTGGCTTAATAATACAGTGCGGTCATACGGAGAGGACGGCCATATTGGATCGGCGGGAAACTAATATTTGAATAGTCTGTCTTTGTTATTTCAATTTAAAAAGTAATTATTGCAACAAATTATTTACTAGAATGGTTTTGGAGATAGAATTGAAGTTGAAGAATCTATATGAAGCATATGAATCACTTATATCTCGCGAAAATAAATAATAAAATCAAAGAACAATATTTGTTTTTTTTTCTGTTTAATTTCTTTTAAAATATATTCCAATAAACTTAGGCATATTAAGATTTCCATTGTATTCATCTTACTCTCTCATTGACAAATTTCACAAACAAATTTATTTAATTATTAAAACATTAAACAAAAACTGAGTGAAAATTAACTTTCATTGGAAAACCAGAAACTCAATTCT